AAATTCTCAAACATACAATAGGCATCATGCTCCATGAACTTTTCAGATAAAATGATACCTAGCTCACCCTCTGCTCCATATGCATCATTTATCAAGAGGAGGTCCCTAGTATCAGCATCAAGCTCGTCCAAACTTCTAATTTTAGCTGCACCACCCTCAGAATTGTTAGCCCTGTCACTCCTGTTCAGCAAAAACCTATCTGGAAATGTCTGGCCATCAAAATCGTCACCAAGAAGCTCTTCATGAAGCTCCTTAACTTGTTTAAAGTGCTGCACATCAATGTGAAGGACATAGAACAGAGGAGCTAGGAGTTCATGCATTCCTGTAAGTGAGAAGTGATTTCTGTTGTCAATTGTGCAACAAAAATAGATGGGTATTAGTGCAATTAGGAGGTAACATGAGGAATCCCTAGTAAGTTAAAACATTATGCAGCAGCTAAAATAGCATGCTGAGTTACACATGTGGGAAAGATGTGCACCTACACAATTATTACCTATATGGCAAAAATAATGCTACTCAATTTAATAAACAAACTTAAGTTCAATGTGCTTATGTCATGGAATCTACCAGTAATTACATCATCAATTGCCATCAATATATTACAGATATCTAAGAAACAGTTTGTGGTTGTAAAATATCTTGAAAAGAATGGCTCAGCATTAAATTTACTCCCTCCGTACCAAACTACAAGATGTTTTTTTGGTTTTGCATAGGGCATAAAAAACGTCTTATATTTTGTTACGGAGGGAGTAATAAATAAGAGCCCTGTGAAACCAATTCTCTTAGGCATAACATATTGTAGGCTCTGCAGCCTTAGTTAGATTCCACAATGTTAGGCCATATGAGAAGTGCACAATAGCTGAATACGCACCGACGACTTACCTTGTTTATACCCAAACTCTGGGTATCTAAGGCTCCATACTAGCAGTATGCGTTCAAGCATGGACTGACATGTGGTTGTTTGGAAAAATTCTCCCAATTCAGGATAGAGTCGGGACAGGTCTTGGTTCAGCATTTTCTCTAGTTCTGCATTCCTGAAATATTGACCCCAAGTGCTTTCTGCATTCATGGTGTACAAAATGATTAGAAGAAGAAAAAAAGAGCTGATGCAATGCAACTGAATGTCTTCATGCTATTCATGAAAAATGCAGAGAACGCGTGAAGGATATATCTTCCTTGTATTGCCGAGGATACATGTGGAACCAAGAAAATGAATAACTGCTGAGAAAAACAACAGCATGTTATGTTGGTTGTAACCAGTCTATTATCAGCTGAGGGCTTGCGGTGAGACATGGTTGTTGGCTACTCAGAAAAAAAGGGCTATCTGAACTAACACGTTACCACTTTATCATCCTGATCCCACCCTGCCTCCCCTGAGTCATCTAGCACCAACCATTTAGCCAGAGAGATGGTGACAGATCATCATCAATTTTATCAGTAACCATTGTGGTGTGAGCAAGGTGCTCCAGAGTATCTGATGTAACAGCCTAAATCTACAAGAATTTCAGTGGAAGCTCGGTGCCGCAAGCAACGTCAAGTTGAGGAAAAGCTTACCCACCTGGGTTCTGTGACAGTGGGTTCTCCACAACAAGATTAGGAGCACCGTCTTCGTCCTTGGAGAGATGGGGATCTATCAGCAGCCGCCGCCGCAAATTAGCGTATCTACAACAACAAACATCAGTTGCAGGCCAGGAGTCAAAACCCTCGAAGCTAACAGACTTGCACATTCCCCCCCTACGATAACAACTGATTTACAAATTCCTTGCAACAATAACTAGGTAAATGAATGCTCAGAGAAATGTAACTCCTCGCGATGATTAGCACGCATAAAGCCTATATATGCACGTAGCTTCACTACAGTCCAGCATCATGACGGCGAGTTAATTAACATTGAGCCGAATCAAACACTGAGACAGGATAGCAATAGTCCATTGACTCCATTCCCAGAAAGACCGGGGCGATGCCTGAATTTTGATCTTCTTTTTCTTCATGCGCGCCGATCAAAGCAGGAGATTCGGTTGGTTGATCTGACGACACGGGCGCCATAAAACAGAAGCGGCAACTCTCCGCGTAGCTCAGCGTTTCAAGAAACGGAGCCTTCCGCCGGCCGGGACCGGAAGCATTGCGAGAAACGGGGAGGGGGGCTGACCTGCGGCGGGAGTCGGCGGCGGCGCGGCGGAGCTCGGTGGTGGGGACGTCGGGGGAGCCGGGCAGGACGCCTAGATCGGCGCGCCACCGCGCGCCGCGGAGGCCCGAGAAGCGCTGGCCCGCCGGTGGCTCCGGCATTGCCGCCCACCTCGGCTCCGGCTGCACCCCCAGCCCTCCGAGCGAGCGCCCCGCGGCGAGGGGAAGGCCGGGGCGGGGGCGGGGATCGAGCGGGGAGGGGCCGGGAATTCGGATCGAGGAGGGCGGAGGGAGGGAGGGAGGAGACCTTCTTGGCCTGACCGCCCGCCCGAGGATGATGGGAAAGGGGAGGGAGCTGACAGGGGGAAAGCGAGCGAGGGAGGGAGGGAGAAAACGTCTCGGACTGGTCTGGTGTTGCAACTGTCGCTCGTATGCGCAGTGCAACGACCTTTTCCAGTTCGATCCGTTCCCTATGGCATATGCTTTTGTGCGTGGCAAATGCACTACATCTCTAGAACATCATCAATTTTTGCAGAATATGAACAGAATCAGTGGGGTTTTCAAAATCCCTGACTCGCAACTAACACATAGAATCACCACCGGAGCTATTAGGTTTTCCCGTGTTACCTTCCGGTTACGATTAATTTACCGGGTCTTTTTCACGGTTCGAAAAAAGATTGTTCAACTCTTATCGATCTTTTATGGAGGATTCGACTTGCTTTCCTCTGTACATCCACAATGTGACATGCGATGATCCATGAAGGGCTTTGATACCACATGATCCTAAGAGATCCCAGTCTCATGGCTTCCAACCCTTCTTTAGTTATAGGCTTTTGAACATATTGCCCGGCCCATTTTCTCTCAACCCCTCTTCCCCGACGGCAATACGGCATGCGCTGGATCAAGCTGTCTCATGACGAGGCGCTTGCAATGACAGCAATCTCTTAAGCGTTGTGCAGATTTGGAAAATTTTGATCTGGTTGTAACCCATCGTCAACCGCCCCTCCTTCTCCCGACGACATGGATTTGAAGGTGGTGTGGCAGCGCCCATATGCAGGCGATGAGATTCTCAGCCTACTTCTGATGTTTTCTCCAGCAACGCGCGATGGGATGTGGGATTTGGGGCTCTCTCAACACCTGTATCGGGCTAGTAAGAAGGCACTAGCTGGCAGAGAGGTTGCTGAGAATTGTTGAGTATATTGATTAATTATTAGAAAACATCAGTAAAAATGCCTGTGCGTTGCTACAGGCTCATAACATGATCATGATACAATATTATTGACAAGTAAATCACAAGCTAACGTACTAGAATATTTATATCCCGTTGCAACGCACGAGCATTGTTATAGTACAAATTATAATGACGCAGCAAAGCGCCTGTCCGTTTCCAGTAATATTTGTTTACAGAGGGTGTATTTTTGAATAAGCATCCGGAGCAAAGGTGAACTGAGTTGTCCTTGGCGGGTACCTGCATAAAAAAGGCCACTCATTCACTCCCCCGAGACTCCCCTCACCCACACCACTCCGCCGCCGTTCGCCTTTGACCGGTTGACCCTAGCCGCGCGCGGTCTCTCTCCCTGCTAGCTCTGCCTCGACCCAACGCTCGGGCCGGCGGCGCGAGCCGCCCGGCCTCCTCCTCTCCGTCCCGTCGAGCTCCTCTCTCTGACCACGCGCAGCTAGACGGGCCACCGCCGAGCGCACGGCGAGGTTTCTTGGCGGCGGCGGGAAGGAGATGAGCGAGCGGAAGTTGCTTTTGCCGACTCTCTCTCCACTCTAGATGAATACCGAACTCTGGACGCCATTTGGTTAGTTCAGATCTTTGGGCACCGGCTGGATCTGTGTTTTTGGGCACATATCCTCCTGAGCTCTCCCTCTGCTCCCTTGGTCGAACTCTTCTTCCACCTTCAGCGCAGCCCACCCCAGGTAGGCAAGCTCTTGCTTCGGCTGTACCTTGATGTGCCGCTCATGTCATATGTACAGGAGAAAGCGGCCTGCCGTTTTTCTATTGGTTACTTCATTAGTTCTTTTTTTTTTTTTGGGTTGATTTACCAACTTGTTTTTTGATGTCACTCATCAGTATACCATGCTCATTGTTGTGGATTGGTGGTGCAATTTCGCCATGTTCTTAATTATTAGCTTGATGCTAGATCTGTCTGAATTGCTGAAGAATCATTCATTTTTAAGCTACAGCGTTACGACCAATTTGTCTCCCTAAACTCTAGCTCGAACGAGAGAGAGAGGGGATTCTGAGAGGAAGAACACACAGAGACACTGAAGTTTTTGTGCTGCGCTAACACCTGCAGCTTTTCTGTTTTGCTCTTCTTATTCATCAAGAGTACACCAACGTGCCCGAGCAACATGCTCCACTACTGACCACGTCCATCCCCATGATCCGAGCTTCGTGCTGGGCCTACTACGACTGAGCCAAGGCGCACGAGACGCAACCAATTGACGAGAAAAAAACGCTAACAGAAAAACGACTAGCTACTGTCGAAACTGAATGTGTCTAGCGACACTTATCTGAAGAAAACAAACTAAATTCAGAGAAGGCCGAGGGAGACAGGGTTTAACCAACACAATTCCTTATTGTCTTCTGATGATACATATATCTGCTTTGTAAAGGTTAGAGTAAAGGAAATGGCAGTTTTCACCCCTAAAATACTTATCACACTGCTTTACCCAATTAAAATTGTTGTCACATTTTCACATTCGTGACACTACTAACCCTTTTTATACTACCTGCTACGTTTGAGAAATTTATCACATTTTACTCCCTAACTTTGCATTTATGAGACTAGCTACCCCTTATGCATCTGTCTACACATGCACTTACCATGTCCTGAAATTTTCTGTGGTACTAGGAGATATAGAATACAATGCTGAACGGATTACAACACACAAGTGGGGCGACATCACCATTCTCGTTCAAGTTGTTAAGACAGATTACTGATAATTTTTCCGATGACCGCATAATTGGTCATGGTGCATATGGAGTGGTTTACAAGGTATCATTGTTACTTGCTTCTTTATATTTGGGAATTCTGTTTTATCAAACAAGACGGCCGCTAGTTACAAGAGCCCATGCACGATATTAATAAGAGATCTTTAACAGGGAGTATTGGATAACGGGGAAAAGATTGCTGTGAAGAAGCTTAAATACATGCCTCCAGAATACGACAGCGATAAGCAGTTTGAGAATGAGTGCACTAACCTCATGAGAGTCCAACATCACAATATCGTGCGGTTAGTTGGCTACTGTCATGAAACACGGCGTGAATATGTTGAACACGGTGGAAAATACATTTTTGCTAGCGAGGACAAACGAGTTCTCTGCTTTGAATACTTGCTGGGTGGAAGCCTTGACAAACACGTCTCTGGTAAGATTGTGATTCACTTGGACAATATTATGGTGCAGAAAGAGAAATACTTGTTTCCCCTAATCTATGATCTATTTTAATTAATCTCTTCATTTACTTTTTGGTAATACACTTCATGTTTATGTCTGCAGACGAGTCATGCAAACTTGATTGGAACACGTGTTACAAAATAATTAAGGGAGTCTCTGAGGGTTTAAATCATCTTCATAATGATTCCATTTTCCATTTGGACTTGAAACCAGCGAATATATTGCTGGACAGCAACATGATGCCCAAAATTGGCGATTTTGGTTTATCAAGATTCTTTCCGTCAACAGAAACATACACCACAACAACATGTTATGGAACACTGTGAGTTCATACCTACCGAGAAGTAATCAACTTCTATATAATTTCCTTACAAAAGTAATTGTATTTGATACCATGCAGCGGATACATACCACCAGAACACATCAACAACCATCAAATCTCGCCAAAATATGATGTATTCAGTTTGGGTGTTATAATTATACAAATAATGGCAGGACGCAAAGGCTACAATGATCATGGAGATACTACTTCACTCAAATTCATTGAGTCTGTAAGAAAATAATTTCTGAATCGTGACCACTTGCTTTTCCATATAAAGTTACGCCATGACTTACTCTTGCTCTCTAGGGATGCAACATGTGAACATTTCGTTTCATTTTGCAGGTATGTGAGAAGTGGCAAAAAAGGGTACATGCAACGATGTGGTCACACATATTACAAGAAGTTAAGACATGCATCGAAATAGCTTTAAGCTGTGTGGAATCTGATCGGCAGAAAAGGCCTACTATAAGCCAGATTGTCAATGCACTTAAGAGGATTGATATTGAAAAATTGTCACTTACATGTGAGGTATTGAAAAATAAGCGATGCTTTCTTTTTCACTCTAGCCATTGCAAATTATTTTGATGAACATTTTTTTAATGAACCTTTTGGCTAAAAATAAAGCTACCCTGGTGAAAAATCTCTTTTGGTCATACTCCATCCTTTCCAAAATATGAGGTGTATTAATTTTCGGAAAAGTCACTTCTCTATGTTTGACCGAGCTTATAGAACAATCAATAACTAGAATGCCTAATCTATATTATTAGATTCGTCATGAGATATCTTTTCATATTTTATTTGGTCAAATGTAAAAACTTTTGACTTATAAAAAAAACTAATACACCTTATATTTTAAAATGGAGGGAGTATTACTTTTGCATATTGTATTTGATATTAGGGTTTTACAGTATTTATATCTGTAAGTAAGTATATTATAGGATTTGTACTAATTCAGCGTAACATTTTCTCATGACTAAACGTGGATCTCTAGCTACTGTAGCTTAGATAGGCATCTAGCCAGGTTGTGCTATAGTCCACGGGAGCAAGGTTCATTGTTTGGTTGCGAGATAGACGAGCATGTTTGACTTGGTTAGTTGAGACGTTTAACAATTAAAATTATAGATAAGACATGTGGACACCTATACGCCTTGGATGCATAGCAAAACCAGATGCTTTGTCCGTGCTTGCCCACATGAGAGAGCCAATTTGGCTCGCATCATCAGCAATCCTTTTTTTTTTGCATTTAAGGGCAAAAATGCCATAAAAAACTAGGATTTTTTAGCAATACCAAACAACAAGTCCTTGCCTGAGATCCAAATGCACCCTAAATCGTGTTGTTTTCATGGCCCATAAAAATTATATAAATTAGTAACCTTAATATAGAGTACTATAAATGCAAAATTCATTTATGTACATCTCCCATTAAATATTTTGTAACTAGCACGCTAGCATTTGTTTCGTGTGCCAACTTCCAATCAATAATTGATTATCAAAATCTGATTTACGTGTCTCTTAATACATTACTGGAGTATATGACTACAAAATTTTCAAAGAGTTCTGCTACATGTATATCACTCCATTACTATTTTCTTATGATGGATGAAATCAGCTCATTAGCTGTTTTCCTTGGTGCAACCGGTGTGGTGCAGATCCCCATGGTAACAATATCATAGTACGAAGTATCGAACACATAGCTATTACTCCTAAACCTTTGCAATTTTGTTGTTTGTAGGGCCAGAGCATGCAGGCCTTGGTCCACAACCAATATACGACCTCCTCACATAAGCATCTCATTTAAAACATTTTTTTGTCTGTTCAGAAAATATTCAAATTTCACTACGGATCAAATGAAGGGGATTCTAACCCTCATCATCTTGGATTATGTTTGGCTTCTAAGGATGCCTACTCCTCTGAGGCAACCAAGTTTCAGTGGGGATCAACGTGCCAAAAGAATGATTTTATGCAAATCAACAAAATGTGCGGGCACACACACACACAAAATAGCACTTAGTGTTGTGTCATTCAAAATTCCCAACTACAGATTTTGAAAATATATAATTATTTGTTTTCAAATTATGAATATTACAAATGATTTTCCAGTAATATGAATTTCTAAACAAAAATACCGTAAGCTGTACATTTTTCAGGTTTATGTTTTGATAATCAAATATTTGAAATACCTTCAAAACCAAGTATTTTGTCATAGTAATTTTGTTTGAGTGAGGAATTGACTATTTTAAATGGCTTGTCCAGCGTATTGCAGTAACATAAAGAAATACTCCCATCCGTCCCATAATGTAAGACGTTTTTTGAGTAACGTCTTACATTATGGGACGGAGGGAGTACCATTCTCCTTTATCTAAAAGGTTGTGATATGTTGGTGATCTCCTCAGCTTCTATGGGGGTCCATGATGGTGGCACTAGATTTGAGTCAACACCTGACGAGGTGGGAGGGGATGATAGATCGACGCATGCAAGTATGTACCAGGAAACTGCTGAACCCATGGACTATGAGTACGAGCCTATCATTAGGTAAACATATTATATCTGCCCCTTTTCCTTTTCAAGGAGTACATATCATGTGATTTTACTCACCCTATACTTGTCATTTGAATGTTCTAGGAACCCAGCGCCTAGTGCTATTGGAGGGCATGCAGATAGAGATATTTGGGAGCTTCAAATTGTGACCCAGACAAGCAAGGACAACATCCTTGACTATGGCCCGAGGAACTCAAATATAAGGTTATCTTGTGACACAAATTTGCCATTTAATATATCATGAATTAGAGCATTTTCATTTAGCATTTTTACTTGGATGTTTGGCACTACTCGTGCCAAATATGTAAGGTTGTACTTTAGAGTGTTGTCATATTTCAGTTATGGTATGCACATTATTTCAGCCCAAAAATTATTACTCCTGTTTAAAATTGATCATAATTCAGAGAGGATGTACAACTATTCAAGTTTGTTACACAAATATTATTATCACAATTAGATGATAAGTAGCTTCAGTTTCTTTTTGCAATACTTATTTGTGTAAATATATAATGGTCAAACTTTGCGTAAATGAGATGGGTAAAATTGTGAAAAATCCTATCCACATTCTGACCAAGGGAGTGAAGGAGATTTGGACTAGAGAGGAGGGTGAATATATGACTACCATTTTTAATCTTTTGTTATTTCTTTTAGAAATTGTAGAATAATAAGTTTTCTAAGTGTGCAACTAAATGAATCGCCCCGTATGACATGATACAACTAGCACAAGGAAACCACAAGATATGCAAGCTAGCAACACCAAGACGAAGTAAAGGCTTGGGAATGAAATAACTGTATGATGGAGACAAAGTTTTTATCTCGAAGTTCACCTCCTTGGAGGGGTGTTAATCTCTATTGGGAAGGGGGAGGCCAACAAAGCACCTCATGTCGCCTTGTCTCTTCCTTCTTGTCCTCGAGGCTCGGCCAACACTAGTAGTTGAGCTTGAGGTGGTCACAAAACTTCACAATTTTTCTTGGAGCACAAATCCCCAATTGGAAGCTTCCGGGCGACACCAACCGTTTAGGGGTTCCAAAGGGGTTGGCTCTTTCATTTCCCCTCGAAGGCACGAAGGCTTAGAGCACCGGGGGAGGATCTCATCAAGCTTTGAAGATTCAAAAATGGTGAGAAGAGGGAGTTCTTTATGGCTCAAGTTGGACTCCAAGTGGGGAAGAAGGCGTGGACCATTTGTATGGTGCCACTGAATTTGCCATTTTGCTCTCTGCGAACTAGTCTATAGTTCCTCTATGGAACTTCTAGGTTGAACTCCCGCCTGAAGTTCCAGAACGTATCCGGACTAAGCTCCGGACGAATCCAGAGGCTACAGGCCTCAATCTAGAGCACTGTCTGGTTTACCAGATGAACAATCTGGTCACCCAGAAGTCCCATCCGGGACCTCCAGGTTCAGTAGGGGTCAACGTTTACGAGTCGAAGAGTCGACGAGTCGTTCCAAGGTTGAGACTCATAGACTAGTCTAGACTAGTGCTAGACTAGTCGACATAGTACTGTAGCACTGAACTTACAGTACATAACTAATAATACCTAGTAGTAGTATGCAGTATTACACTATATAAGTATACAAATACAGTATACAATTGAAACAAGCAAAGTGGAGTCACTGAGGCAGAGCAGCACCAGCAACTAGCAGCAAGCACAGCAGCACCAGCAGTCTATCTGCGAGCAGAGCAGCACCAACAGCAAGCAGAGCAGCACCAGCAGTCCAGCAGCGAAGCAGAGCAACAGCAGCGGCAAGCCAAGAAGAAAGAGGAGGGGAAAGGAGGGGCAAGGCAGAGCAGCACCAGCAGTCCAGCAGCGAGGCAGAGCAGCACTGAGGCTCACCTGCCTGAAGAGGAGAAGAGCACGAGGGGCCAGCGGCGCGAGACGAAGGCGACGGTGGAGCTTCAGATCCACGACGTGGGGCCGACGACGGTGGAGCTTCAGATCCGCGGCGGCAGGCATCCAGCGGCCGGCGACGCGAGGAGGGCTCGACGGGCGCGTCCAGGGGAAAGAAAGGATTAGGTCTCCCGCGGGATGAGGCATCGTATTTATATTCCCCCAGTTTTTTGAGTCGTTCGGCTCGAACATGTCGACTAGTCTGGACTAGTCGTCGACTAGTCGATGACTGGCTCGACTCATACAAGTAGTCTACACGAGAAATCGTTGGTAGGGGTGCAAAGACCAGGTTAAAACCGTGGCTTCTCTCTAGTTCTTCTCTTAGGGTTCTCTCTTTCAAGCAAGATATGAATCTCACACCCTTTTTCACCACATAAACCCTCCTCAATAGTCTGGCTTTCCTTTTACTCAAGCATAATATAAGATGCATAATTTAAACTAGCTATTTTTTTCTTAGGGGGTCCCTGACAGCCTTTTCTTTTCAGCCATGGGACTAACACCTATTCATACAACTTGTAAACTTCACTAGTCCCTTAACCACTTTTCATTTACACCAGAATCCACATAGGGGCTTAGATGTCCCTTCAGAGAGTGTATTAACACATATAGCTTATGCATGCGTATGGGTTATTGACCACTATTGTGAATTTCTAGATTTTAGAATTTTTACCTTTTGTCATTGGGAATTTGGGATATTTTTGAATTGTTGCAACTTAAGTACTTACAATAGTATAGCTTGAAGAACGGTTTACCGAACATAATCATATATTAATCAAATGTTGAAACCATAATATTACTGAACTGAGAAATAATTTTGGGTGCATAGTAAGTTATATATCAGGTACTGCCATCATTTCAAAATATAAGGCATATCCTTGTTCTTATATACATGTCATATGTCCATATTCCAAAGAAAAAACTAAGTGTCTAACATATAGCTCTAATAAATACTCCCTACATGAATCTATTGAACATGTTAATTAGTTTTACCTTAATATTTCCTACATGAATCTATTGAACATGTTATTGTAGGGATCATTTCATTGTAAAGTTTTGGTATTTAGTTCAAAATTTTGACCTAAATAGGAAAGATTTACCAAACAATACCCCTCCAAAGTCCAAACTGACCCTAATGGTGCTGTCACCCAACAAGTTCTTGCTAACATTTTGGGCTTTTGGCGCGACATGCATCAAGCGCTGCCTCTAAATTGGGAATTTGCTAAATGTAGACAGTATGGAGTTTTACTCAGCTAGGTTTAGTTGCCATGGCAGCAGTCGGCGAATCTATTCTGTTGTCAGGAATGACATTGACGGTTTGAAGAGTTCTCTTGGAGACACCTCATTCCATGAGTATTATTACTCTCAGCTAGGCCTAAGCACCACAACTAGCAGAAACCAAAGTGTATGCACTTTCTTAGTTCTGACATCAACGAATTCTTGAGTGTTATTGGGGAGGGCCTCCGCTACCACTACACAATCCAACATGTCGGTGCTAATGTTGGTTGCCCTGTCTGATAATACTTAAGAGAGACTGAGTCTCATCTTCCGCAACAGCTAATATCAGCTAGTTTCCACTTTCTCTCGTGTTCTGCTAGTAGTAGATTTGATCGTTTGATCGACCAGCATATCTGCTTTCTAATATCCGTAGTGGCAAGCAAGTCAGACCGCTATATCATGTGCCACAGTAGCCGATCAAGTTGAAATTTATCTTCTCTTGTCTAGAATCTAGACTTTATGATTGTGATATGTGTTCTTTGCATGTGGTTTATGTTGTCCAACTACTCAGACACACTGTTTGTTTATCTTCCAAGGGAGGAAATAGTTATGTAGATATCAATAGGGAACGCTTCACTCGATACATATTTAGAAAGTTGTGCCTACTGATAATAATTACTCCCTCCATCCCAAAATAAGTGCTAAGATTAAGACACTTATTTTGGGACGGAGGGAGTAATATTCTTAACCCAAGCTTTATAAGTCAGTTTCATGAGTTGGAGTGCTAAGATTTTTCCTCATTTTTTCTGGTTAATTTTGGAATTTCTAGAGAGTTTGTAATTAGCATAGTAATATATATGTGACATTTATCATATCCAGCTACCATTGCAGGATTGTTTTAAGGACATACATTAATATAGTACCTCTTTTTAAAACATACATGTTGAGGTTAATTAAATCAGACTGAGACTGTATCAACTTAGAATGATATCCATTTTTATTTCAATCCATTAGTTCCAAATTCAAGGAACACATGTTTTAGTGTCATGGGTTAGTTGGGCAGCAAATAAATTTTTTGACGGTAACCGCGCACTAAACATCATCCAGCTACGAGAGGAGAATAATTTTGTTCGTTAAATGTTGCCCTAATTCTGTTCTTGTATAATTCTTGTTTTCGAACAAGTTGACCTTATTCTTAAAAATATTTTGATTATCAGTGACTTATTTCTAACACACTCAAATTCGTAAAAAATGTTGATTATCAGTGACTTATTTAAGACACACTCAAATTCATAACACCTTCTTTATACATGTAAGCTAAGTGTAACTGCACAACTATGCTTTTCTATACTAAACAATATGTGGGAAAATACCCAGCTATGCTCATTATCTCCACTTTTTTGTCAACAGGGCGGAAGGCAGCCTTCATACTCCAGTCACCATCGGTATAATGGATGCTATTGGGGTTATTAGTGGCTTCAAAGAGTGTGACTATCTTTTTCAGTGGGCTAGATCTACTATTTTATCTCAATTTAGCGGTACAAACGAGCAAGGGCTCGATGAGGAATTATTTCGATTGAAGAATGGCCTACAATGCCTTAGGGATACTCTTCCCGCAATGTATGAACTCATTGATCGAGCAGAGTGGAGGAGCCACAAGCATTATGTGGTAGAGCTCCTTCCAAAACTCAGGGATGGAGTGTATGATGCGGAAGACCTTCTTGATGAGTTCAGATGGTACATACTGAAGGTGAAAGTGGATGGGAATGGAAGCCAATCTTCATTCATGGACTTCTTCAATAGTGTCATTCGTGGGAGCTTTAACAAAGTGGATGGTATTCAGAAAAGGCTAGATAATATTTACATGCACCTCCGTGGTATGGGGTTGCATGATATCACAATACGGTTTGACAAATCAGTCAGGCCAGAGACTAGCTCTTTCCCAAATGAAACAAAAATATTTGGTCGTGACATGGAGCTAAAGCATATAATTGAATTGCTTTGTGCACCAATAAATAGTAGTGATGCTCATCCCAAACGCCAGAAAGGAAATACTGCAGTTGATGTATCACCAAGTACATCAGCAAGAAACCAAATTGGTAGTGAATCAAGAATATCAGATCTTCCTGTTTTACCCATAGTTGGAATTGGGGGTGTCGGAAAGACCACTCTGGCTCAACATATATGTAGTCATGAACAAGTGGAGTCTCATTTTGACATAATAATTTGGGTTTGCGTCTCAGATGACTTTGACGTGAAGAGGTTAACTAAAGAGGTCATATAGTCTTGTCCCGAAAAATATGCAACAACTGAAAATTTGAATTTGCTTCAGAAGAACTTTTCTGAGATTGCAAGAACTAAAAAGTTATTAATTGTTCTGGATGATATGTGGGATGATGTTTTGAAGGAAAATGGGCAGTGCTGGAACAGGTTTTGTGCACCTTTAAAGAATGTACTACCGGGAAGTATGATGTTGGTCACTACTAGAAGTCCACAGGTTGCTGACAGAGTGGGCACGATGGATCCCATTACATTGCAAGGTTTAAAGGATGATGTTTTTTGGAATTTTTTCAAATTATGTGCTTTTGAATCTGGGAGTTCCAGCAATAATGATCCTGAGTTAGAGCACATTGGTAGAAGGATAGTTCCTAAGTTAAAGGGTTCTCCTTTAGCCGCTAAAACTCTTGGACGAATATTAAGAATGAACCTTCAAGTAGCACATTGAAATGATGTACTAGAGAGTGAACTGTGGGAGTTGAGCCAGGAGGAGACTGAAATTTTGCCAGCCCTTCGGTTGAGCTACATGTATTTACCTTTCCATTTGAAGAGGTGCTTCTCATTCTGTGCCGTGTACCCCAAAGATGATAAATTTCAAAAGGAACGTTTAGCTGAAATTTGGGTGGCAGAAGGCTTTGTTGAACCTCAAGGTGATACTCCACTTCGAGATATCGGTTGTGATTACTTCAATGACCTTTTAAATCGGTCCTTCTTTCAAGAAGTTCAATGTGAATACTTAATGCATGACTTGCTGCATGACATGGCACAGAAAGTTTCAGAGCATGACTGCTTCATCTTGAAAAGAAGGAGTGACTTAAAAAATATTCCTCCTAGTGTTCGCCATTTGTCAATACTCTCTAGCACAGACATGGACTATCCCAGCTTGTTGAGTCTATGTCGCTTCACAGAGCTCCGTACCCTTCTTTGCAACGGGCCTTTAGCAGAGAACAAAATTCCAGCTAGTTTAATGGAGAAATGGTGGAGTGAACTTCTGCGTCTGCGTGTGTTTGTTCGTGCCACTACTAATGAGTTACCAGCTGCTATTGGAAACTTGAAGCATCTTCGGTACCTTCAAATCTCAAGAGCTTCACCTTTCAAGAGTCTTCCCGACGAGTTATGTCGGCTCTATAATCTGCAGATTTTATCTGTTGATAATTGCAAGCTAGAAATCCTGCCTAATGACTTCAGTAATCTGATATGCTTACAGAGATTTGAATCACATGGATTTCAGTGTAATTTAAGGTTTAGAAGTTCCCGGGTAGAAGAACTTTATGAAGTGAGTGCTGATGTAGCCAATGAAGCCAATGATGAGCCCGGGCGAGGATTTAGGTTGATGAAGAATATTAACCAGCTTGGTGACTTGAAGATATATAATATTGATAAGCTAAGCAAGGAGCATGCAGGAGAAGCCCAACTACAGAATAAGATGGGCTAAACATCTCAGTGGGATATATAGGGTTGAAAAGGAACGGCTCCTTGCCCTCATTCAGTCCTTAGATGTAAAAGCAGAAACCACGGTGTTGCCAGCCATCGAGCTTCATACTAAGCTTGACGCTGAGAAGAGGTTGAAAGAACTGCTTCGGGAAGAAGAGTTAAAGTGGGCTCTGAGGGCCAAGGTACGAAGAGTGGTCGAGGGGGACGCGAACACTCAATTCTTCCATATGATTGCAAATGGCAAACATAGGAAGAAGAGAATCTTCCAGCTAGAACAAGATGAGGGTACGATTATCGGGCGGGATAATTTGAAGCTTTACATTACCGAGTACTACAAACGATTGTTCGGACCACCAGAGGAGAACTGTGTGTCTCTGGATGAGTCTAGAATCGAAGATGTACCTCAACTCACTGTGGTGGAGAACAATATATTAACCGACCCTTTTTCGGAAAAGGAGGTTTTCGAGGCCGTTTCCCAGATGAAAAATAATAAGGCACCCGGTCCGGATGGTTTTCCGGCTGAGTTTTATAAGAAATGCTGGCATATTATTAAAGGGGACCTGTTGCCGATGTTCCATGATTTGTTCTTGGGACATTTGCAGCTTTTCCAGCTTAATTTTGGAACAATAACCCTGCTTCCTAAGAAAACAGAGGCCGTGAGAATCGAGCAATTTCGGCCTATCTGTCTTCTGAATGTCAGTTTCAAAATTTTTACCAAGGTTGGAACGAATAGGCTAACACAGATTGCGCATGCCATGGTGCAGCCTACTCAAACGGCTTTCATGCCGGACAGGAACATCCTGGAAGGGGTGGTGGTCCTTCATGAAACGCTCCATGAGATCCACACGAAAAAACTTGATGGGGTTATTTTCAAAGTGGATTTCGAGAAGGCATATGATAAAGTCAAATGGCCGTTCCTTCAACAGGCCTTACGCATGAAGGGCTTTGATGAAGCTTGGCGACGCCAGGTGGAAGCATTCACGCAAAAAGGGAGTGTCGGAATCAAAGTGAATGATGATATAGGTCATTATTTCCAAACGCATAAGGGATTGAGACAAGGTGATCCTATGTCTCCAATATTATTCAATATTGTGGTGGACATGTTGGCGATCCTGATAGGAAGGGCAAAAGAGGCCGGTCAGGTGGGTGGCTTGGTGCCTCATTTGGTTGATGGTGGTGTGTCCATCCTGCAGTACGCTGATGATACTATCATCTTTATGGAACACGATTTGGCCAAAGCGAGAAACATGAAGTTAGTGTTATGCTTATTTGAACAATTGACGGGGCTTAAGATTAATTTCCATAAAAGCGAGTTGTTCTGCTTTGGTAGAGCCAAAGATGAACAAGAGGCATATAGACAATTGTTTGGTTGTGAAGTTGGGGCTCTACGTTTTACGTATCTAGGTATTCCCATTCACCATCGTAAGCTAACAAACAGCGAGTGGAAGTGCATAGAGGATCGGTTTGAGAAGAAACTGAGTTGTTGGAAGGGAAAACTCATGTCTTATGGAGGCCGGTTGATCCTTATTAACTCGGTGCTCACGAGTTTACCTATGTTCCTCTTATCCTTCTTTGAGGTCCCAGTTGGGGTTAGGAAACGGCTGGACTTCTATCGATCCCGATTCTTTTGACAGAGTGATAAACTTAAGAGAAAATACCGACTGGCCAAATGGGATATTATCTGTCGACCAAAGGACCAGGGGGGCTTGGTATTGAAAATCTAGAAGTCAATAATAAATGCCTGCTCAGTAAGTGGCTGTATAAGTTGGCACTTGAGACGGAGGCAACATGGGCGCAGATCTTACGCAGTAAATATTTGCAGTCCAAGACCCTGTCCCAGGTCACTATGAGACCAAATGATTCACCGTTCTGGAAGGGGCTCATGAGAATCAAAGCTACCTTCTTTAACAGAACTAGGTGTATTGTCGGTAATGGTAACGACACTCGATTTTGGGAGGATACGTGGCTTGGCGACGCGCCTTTGGCGACCCAGTATCCGTCCCTTTATCGTATTGTTCAGCGCCGTGAGGCTCTTGTTGCCACGGTTCTGCAGTCCATTCCGCTCAACACTCAGTTTAGGAGGGTGCTTGTGGGTGACCGATGGGAAGCATGGCTTTACTTGGTTCGGAGATTGATGGGGGTTCAGTTAAATCCTCAGCCCGATCAGTTGTGGTGGAAGCTTACTAGATCTGGGGAATTCACAGTTAAATCGATGTATATTGATATCATTAACTCAAGTGTGATTCCTAGTTCCAAAGAGGTTTGGAAAGTTAAGGTCCCCTTAAAGATTAAAGTGTTTATGTGGTTTGTACATAAACAAGTAATTTTAACAAAGGACAATCTAGTTAAGCGTAACTGGACAGGTTCTACTAGGTGTAGTTTCTGTGATCGGGAGGAGACCATCAAGCACCTCTTCTTTGACTGCCCGTTGGCACGAGGCTGGTGGCGCTCTGTGCAAATTGCCTTTAACATTACTCCCTCGACTTCGGTCAACACGTTATTCGGGACGTGGCTTGCTGGGATAGACTCCGAAACAGCTAGACACATTCGTGTAGGAGTTTGTGCATTGTTATGGGCAATTTGGAACTGCAGAAATGATTTGGCTTTTAACAGAACAACAACTATTCATTTTTTGCAGGTTTTATTCCGGGCTATTGCGCTGATCCGTATGTGGTCCTTACTCACTCCGACGGAGGCCAGGGAGCGTTTGGTTACTGGATCTGTCCGGTGGGAGATGATAGCGCGGGATATCTTCAACCAGTTTGGATGGCGGTCATGTAATAGGATAGGCGATTAGTTTACCTATCTGTTAATTTGCCAGCCGGTTGTGACTTGTTAAGCTTTCTGTTTTGGCATTGAGGCTCTGTGTGAGCTTGCCGCTCCTTTTGTCTGCAGACTTTTAAGACCGTGTTCAACTTTATTTACTCTTTTTAATAAATGTGGCCGTGTGCATCGTTCTGAAGCAGAGGCCGGGGAATCCCCCTTTTCGAAAAAAAACAAAAAAAAAAACAGAATAAGAAGTATCTTGAGATGCTGAAGCTGTCATGGTCTGGGTTGAGGTCTCCAGAGGACAATGACATAGAAGTACTTCGAGTTCTACAGCCTCCCACCTGCCTCAAGTCTCTGCTCCTCCATGATTATCCAGGTGTGTCGCTGCCAACCTGGTTTCCAACTGAGATCTCGCCAAGCTTAATGCCACCTTTGCTTATCAGTTGTGATGGACACGAGAGATCATCAGCATCCCGTATCTCAGAGCGTATAAACTTAAGTGAGATACCTGAGGTGCTAGTTGACAACAATAATGATATCACCAGTATTTTCTCGTCGCTGACAGACCTGGTCATTGTTAAGTGCCAAAATTTATCATGCCTCGAACATGTTGTACACGTACTGGCCATCAAGAAAATCACAGTTAAAGATTGCAAGAACTTAGTTTCAGTACCAGCTGAAAGATTTAGGGATCTCCATTGCCTTGAAGAATTGACGGTGCAAGGATGTCCAAAAATATATTCACAAAGTTTGGTTTCACCTTCTCTCAAGAGGCTTATGCTGGGTATGAATGATTGGTGTGTTGACCCTAGTTGTGGGAATCTCGGAGAAAATGTTGACTGCTGCTCCCTCACGTACTTTTCTTTGTCATGCAGCCGTCTCACATCCATTAAACTACAGATGTGGAATCTTCCAGCACTAGAAGAGTTGCAGATTTCACGATGTCAATTTCTTAAATCTATTATTGGACAATCTGGACAGGTCCTCAGAAGCACGAGCGGATCTAGAGCATTCCCATCCCTTATTTCCCTAACAATTTTGTCGTGTTCTAAGCTGTGGACCATTGATGATCTCCTAGCAGAAGAATATCTACCTGCCATTGAAAGAATTCTTATTGAATCTTGTGGTAGTTTATGGTCCCTACCCGATGAAAGGTTTGGGAATATTTCTTCTCTGAGGGATTTGAGGATCACTGATTGTCGTAGACTGAGCTGGAAGAAGGGATTTCTGTTACCATCTTCCCTCCAAAGTCTCACCTTAAATAACTGTGGGGATATCTCTGCATGGGTTCCCAGCTGCCTAAAAAACCTTGCTTCCCTTGTTACATTGAGGATTTGTATGTGTCGCCATATAACATCCATTCCAGGCAGCCTTTGGACCACTAATCTCACATCACTTGAGAATTTACTGATTTGGAGTTGTCCAGACATTGTATCAATTGGTGGAGAAAACGCAATTTCAGAAATACAAAATGTATCGATTCAATGGTGTTGTAAGATGGAGGATCTAAAGCAGCCCGTGGTAAGAGGCAACCTGATGTCAGTAGAGTGGAGCTAGTCTTCCCCTATGGTACGTGTGTTTACACTAACTTCTTCCAGATTGTACTCATATTTTTCTTACACTATTGTGATGTACGATTAAACATTTTGCACTTGTTCTCCACAATTTTAACCATCCTTGACTTTACTGATCAATTCTTTCGTTTGTGTAGCATCTATTGTGGCGACAATCATTTGGGAACTGAAGCTGAGTTTTAGCTGAATCAACGTTACACCATAGCGGATTCTCCTCATCACTTGAGTTTTACTCTATCCATCATTCTGTCCGCAATTCATATGAATAATGTCTCCCCATTTTGGCATACGTCATTTTGCACTCTCTGTTCCATGTATAACAAATGTATTTTATTGGGCCTCATCAATTACCGTATCCAGTATCTACTAGTGTTTCTACCAAACCACTTCAATTGATCTTTTCCGATGTGTGGGGTCCTGCTCCCACTTCTGTTGGTAGACATGAGTATTATGTAAGCTTTATCGATGACTATAGCAAGTTTGTGTGGATTTATCTTCTCAAAAAGAGATCTGATGTCTTTCAAGTTTTTCAAAATTTTCAAGCCTTGGTT